AATTGGCTCAAAGAGAGAAGTGGCCCCTCTTGTTATGTAGACTCTTTGCTTTGAGCCAACGGCAAAGAACCCGATTCCGTTTTGTTCTACGGTATCGATTACTACAGATTTTGATTGTTCTTCCTAGTTTTGCCTTTTTTGGTTGCCTCGGCCTAAACGATATAATCATTTCGTAGTAGGCTTACATGCTTATCATGGTTTGTTCAGTAGGAATTAAATTATATATATATTTGTTGCAGCATCGGTCACTCCATCGTCAGAAGAATTAAGAAACGTGTAACTCACCCAAATGTGGGCTCATTTTAGCTAAGGGGTGGGGATGGGGGATGGTGAGGTGTACTAATTTTGGCCTATATCTCTTTTACAACCTGGCAAATGTGAACGGAAGTAAAGTCTAGGCCCTAAAGTTCAGCCGTCGCACTTTCTTTCAAATGTCTGGAAGAGGGCTGGTGTGTTCGATTCTACCGTAAGGAGTAAGGAGATATAGATTTATAATCTAGATCTAAATAGTAGTTATATTACTTCCAGTAACACTTGTTTTGGTGTGACAATTCAACACAACTTATGATGGCCGATGAGGATGTTGCTGCTCTTGTTGTGGACAATGGATCTGGCATGTGCAAAGCTGGATTTGCAGGGGACGATGCTCCACGTGCTGTGTTTCCGTCCATTGTTGGACGACCTCCCTGTAATCTTGAAGAACACTTTAAATATTATCAGGCCTGATCCAGCTGAAGAATTCTCAAATTTGTAACCCAAATCCTACCCCAAAATTTGGAACAGCAGTGTTAGTAGCCTACTGTCAGTCCGCCTTCTCAGATATTCGTAAAAGGTGAATGTTCAATTTGTAGGCTACAAATTAAGACAACAACAAAATCAAAACAACGACAACGGCAACAACAACAGCAACAACAACAACAGTAACATAATATTCATCTTTGGGGGGGGGGGAGAAGTTAGATTAACCAAATTTGGGTTCACCTGCCTAATCCAAAGTTGTCAAGGTATTCTGATATATTTTTGATAACTGATCTGCCAAAACCAAATTCATTTTTTTTAAAAGGGTAGGTAGGCCTTCTGTTTTCTAATTACATATATCGCAGACCAATAAATGCAATATGCACTTACATAGGAAGTAAAGTTCAAATGCACTGAAATGCAATGTAGCCCAGGCTGTAGGCCTATATCTTGTGTTTTGATTTGTTACATGTAGGACCTATATTGTATACTCCATTAGAACAAACAATAACATTTAGGGAAGTTGACACCTGTGTTATTATTTTGTGATACTATCAAATATCCAATATATAATAAGCTTACTACATGTAGGCCTATTATTTGTATAGAATATTTCATATTATCAACTACACAGTGTCTTTAGCCAAAGATTGTGTATAGGCTAAAGCCTATGTTGGCGTACAATCTTTGCTTTAGCCAACCAAAGTTATGTATTATCTTTGAGCAAAGATAGTACATAACAAGATGGTCCACTCAGCCAAAAAAGTGTCGGCCGGAAGTCCGCTCTTTGCTTCAGATGGCGCTGCAGTCTGTTTTGAAGTTGTCTTTCGTTTTTCCAGAAGAAGAATAGGAATAGTACCTCCTTGCGTACGAGGATCGACTGCTGTTCATCAGCAGTTCGGGTTCGTTCAGTGCGGAGTTTTAGGTTTTTAAAAAATTTTAATGACCACTCGCCTTTCATTCTAAAGTCGAATTAAATGAAGAAAACAATCACCCTTTAATCCGGAAGAGGTTTTTTTTCAGCGTAACCATTTTAAAAAAGCGTTCTTCTGAAATGTATTCAAAAACTTGCTAGTTTCACCCTCTCTGGTTTCACTTTGATTTTTTAAACTCAAGTAGGGTAACTCTGTTCGCAAAGGGTGCGCAATTGCGAAGAGGGCGCCACCGAATTTTGAGGACACTTTTTTAATTGGCTCAAAGAGAGAAGTGGCCCCTCTTGTTATGTAGACTCTTTGCTTTGAGCCAACGGCAAAAAACCCGATTCCGTTTTCTTCTACGGTATCGATTACTACAGATGTTGATTGTTCTTCCTAGTTTTGCCTTTTTTGGTTGCCTCGGCCTAAACGATATAATCATTTCGTAGTAGGCTTACATGCTTATCATGGTTTGTTCAGTAGGAATTAAATTATATATTTGTTGCAGCATCGGTCACTCCATCGTCAGAAGAATTAAGAAACGTGTAACTCACCCAAATGTGGGCTCATTTTAGCTAAGGGGTGGGGATGGGGGATGGTGAGGTGTACTAATTTTGGCCTATATCTCTTTTACAACCTGGCAAATGTGAACGGAAGTAAAGTCTAGGCCCTAAAGTTCAGTCGTCGCACTTTCTTTCAAATGTCTGGAAGAGGGCTGGTGTGTTCGATTCTACCGTAAGGAGTAAGGAGATATAGATTTATAATCTAGATCTAAATAGTAGTTATATTACTTCCAGTAACACTTGTTTTGGTGTGACAATTCAACACAACTTATGATGGCCGATGAGGATGTTGCTGCTCTTGTTGTGGACAATGGATCTGGCATGTGCAAAGCTGGATTTGCAGGGGACGATGCTCCACGTGCTGTGTTTCCGTCCATTGTTGGACGACCTCGTCATCAGGTAGGCCTAACCTAACCAACCGTAATTTATGATTAATTTATCTGTAGATAACTTAGATCTAGAATCTAGATCTAGATCTAGGCTTTACTTTAGGCTAAGGCCTAGATCCCTAGATCTAGGTCACTGTCTGGGCAATCCGCCAACTTAACCCATTTTGACCCTCTTGAGTCTCTTCAGTGGCTTGGTGCAACCGCTCCACCTAACCCTGGCCTTCACCACCCCCCCCCCCCCCCCCCTTTTTCTTTTTTGTTCTAAACCAGTCAGTGCTCTAGGCCTAGATCTAGATTTCTAGATCTAGATCTAGATCTAGCCTACATTAGGCCTACTATCTAGTTCTAGATTCTAGATTATATTAGATCTACATCCTTGCGATCCGTCACCCGCTTGCTGCGCCAGTGAAGAGACAGACGGCGAGGCGCTTTTCCCTTTCGTCAACCCGCAGCCACCTCCCGAATCGTCAGCCACCCCCAACCTTTGACACGGGTCAAACTTCCATCTATTTATAGGTAGTTAAATCTACCGGAACATGTATTAGGCGAAGTGATGTGCAATGATAGTCGCAATAGAGAGATTGTTTTGGTCTCTTTTTACCCATCTGCACCACACGAATTTAATTGATGTTTTTCCCTGGACTCTGCCTTTACTAAAGTCTCGAATCTAGATCTAGTCTAGATCTAGATCTAGATTTAGAAACAGTTGTAAATATCGATAGTCTATATGATTTATGTTGATAAGGGGTATCCTGCAGATTCTAATTGACTTTCTCCAGAATTCTTAATAGTATATCTAGATCTAGATCTAGTAGGTTCTAAGCCTATTGCCCATTTGCTCACTTTCCAATCATGCACCACCTTGTCTGCAACTCACGCAACGCCACTGGTCTCCTTTCTTTTGGCAGCCCAACTAATCTAGAATCTATATTAGATCTAAATATCTAGATCTAGGCTAGGGCCTAGAGATCTAGATAGATCTAGATAATCTAAGCCCCAGTTAGTCACTGAACCGCCACACATTCTTCTTCCCTCAGAAGGGTGCATTTCTCATAAAATGCCAGATTTCTCTCCCGTTGATACATGTACCCAGAACTACATCTAGATCTAGATTCTAATCTAGATATCTTCCAAGTTGTCTGGGTTATCCGCCTGAGGTCTGGGCTAGAATCTAGCCTAGGCCTAGATCTGCTATAAACAATATGTCCACGCAGATCGTCCCCCCCCCCCTAGTCTGGGCTACCCGCCCGCACTGTATCCATGCATACCCTTGAATATAAGAAGTGCCTATTTGCAAAGCTAGAATATAACAGGGCACCTAGATTAGATGATAGATCTAGTCTCATAATCTAGAATCTACGTAGGGCCTACACGGTAATGGGAATGAAAATAAGTCAATATTTGTCCTGTGCTGTCACTTGCTGAAGAAAAAAAAAAAGAAAGTCATAGGCCTACAAGCGTCTTGTCGGGCTCGCCATCGTGACCGGTCAGTGAACCTGTGCGTGCAAATCACATTGGAGTACCGGTTGGGGTCCCCAAAGTTCATTCAAAGTCTGCGCTGCGAAGTATAGAATCTAGATTCTAGATCAAGGGCTCCGGAATGGGGGGGTATTGATTTTTTTAAAAGATAGCCTACTGTCGGGGGAGGGGTGGGGATGGAGGCAACACCGGATGACTAAAACTGAACTTAGTTCTGAACTGCCCGGTTACCGTGTACGTAGACACTCCATGTCAAATATCTACTAGATCTAGATCTAGACCTAGAGGCTTCACAAATTGAAAGTTTTATATTAGAACAAATGAATTAAAAAGTTCAAGGGATCAGGGAATGTTTATTGGGGAAAAATCAACTAGAATCTACATCTAGGTCTAGGTCTAGGTCTTGCTAGATATCTAGATCTAGTCATAAGAACAAACAGAAAAAATTCAAATAATAATTCAGTGCGAATTCAGTACATCATCATGGCACACATGCATGCATACAAAGTCTGGATTTACAACTGGGCTGCTCATCATCATACTCATTTATTACACAATATGACCAATATATCTAAAAATCCACACAAGCATGCATCACACACAAAATCAAGCGCTTCGAACTGCTCGTCATCCAACTCAAATAAATCAATACTTGCCACACACCCAGGGTTGGTGATTTTTTTTAATTTTTATTTATAAAAAAATTAAAATCGATTTTTAAAAATTGTAATCGGATTTATTTATTTTTGGTGGCTAAAAGTAAGTTCTTTTAGTGCAAAATGCATTGTCTTTATTTTAACTAATGATTAATATAAGCAACTGCAATTTTAGAAAGCCTTAATCTGCTAGATCTCAGTGAATTATGGCTACAGACAAAAAATGAAGAAAATGTCAGTCTAAAAGGAAAGGGGGGTAATTATGCGTAGATAAACTTGCATTTTATTACAGTGTGTGTGTGTGTGCGCGCGCACTTGTGTTTGTCTAAAAAGAAAAAGAAAATGCTAATTTCAATTATGAAAAAAAAGTAAATTGAATACAGTATTATTTTACTACTTACAGTGACAGGGGGGAAGGCAGACTTTTAAGCATGATTATTTTAGTCTACTAAACCTTATATTATATATGTTTTATAAAACCAAGGAAAGGAATTCTGAATGTTTAAAGATGTAAAAACAGAATACTTTTTTAAAAAGATTTAAACCAGAGTTTTATTTTTAAAATCAAGTTGATTTTAATTTTTTTAAATCAACTGACCTAAATCCACCTGATTTAAATCGACCCCCCTGGTTTTCAATTATGAAAAAAAGTAAATTGAGAACTATTATTTTACAGTGACAGTGGGGAAAGCAGACTTTTAAGCATGATTATATTAGTCTACTAAACCTTATATTGTTTAATAAAACCAAGGAAAGGAATTCTGAACGTTTAAATATATGTAAAAACTGTGAAAAGTGATTTAAATCACTGATTTTTATTTTAAAAATCAAGTCGATTAAAATAAAAAAAATCAACTGATTTAAATCAACCCAGCTCTTATTTCAATTATGGGGGGAAAGTAAATTGAATACTGTATTATTTTACAGTGAAAGGGGGTGGGAAGCAGACTTTTAAGCATGAATATATTAGTCTACCAAACCTTATATCTTTTTAATGAAACCAAGGAAAGGAATTCTGAATGTTGAAATGTGTAAAAACTGAATAAAAGTAAATATTTAAAAAAGTGATTTAAATCACTGATTTTTATTTTTAAAATCAAGTTGATTTTTAAAAAAAATTTAATCAACTGATTTAAATCAACCCAACCCTGCACACACCTCTTATGACACCACCTAAGACACTTGTTGCACCCCACCCAATCTTTACATTCAGACCTCTTGTACTTACCCTCATAACAAAAACACATTCTCATTCACAATCACTTGCAAAGAAGCATCATCCCAAACCATTCTCACTCTCACGTTATGTTATTCCCCTCCTCACTCTCAACATCTTTCACTCGTCGTCCCTTTCCTTTCTTTCCACCAGATCCATTCTTTCCTTTGTTCTCCACTACTCTTTGCTTCTTTTTTTCTTCTGCCTTTCTTTTCTTTTCTTGTTTCAACTTTTTTTCTGTTCTCTTTTCTTCAATCTTTCTTCTTTCTTATGATCAGCTTCTTTTTTGTCATTCTCCCTTCTTTCAAAATACTCCATACATTCAGCTCTTGTTAGTGCCATGTTTAGAACTACATTCACAAGTAGCCTTTTTCTGGCTGGTGGTTCAACTTGGGGAATTTTTTGTTTTTATGTATGTGTCTATATCCATTGGTAAAGATGTTGGTGTTGCTGTTGATTTTGTTAGTGTCTGTTGGAGTGTGTTGGTCAGAGCTATTTGCAGAGGTAGAAGGGGTGTGATGCGGCATGTTAAACTGGGCGAGACATTCTTTGCATTTTCTCCTTGAAGTGTACATCACATCATCTGTGATGTCATATTTCTCTTCAAATCTCTGTTCATATTTTATCTTGAGCTCTGGAGTCAAAAATGACTCCTAGACTTTAAGGTTTTTAAATGTTCTCTTTGTCTGGGAAGTGGACGTGGTGCAGGATGAAGGGGTACATATGAATGAAGCTGCCTTTGAGGTGGTAGGCATGTGTGGTGGAGTGTGAGCAGATGTACAAGGCGTGTGTGGTGGAGCGTGAGCAGATGTACAAGGCGTGGGTGTGCGGAGCACCTGTGAAGGCTGCATCTTCTGTGTGTTCAGGACAGCATCTTTATTTAGGGGAAACAACCCCGACTTTTCGAACCCCTTTCTTCCAATCTCCTGAGTTGTAGCTTTCAGATGTATGCTGTCTTGACCACTTTCCCGGGATGTTTTAATTGGTATTCTCTTACCCCTTCACCCCAGTGATGCTTCATGCTCGCAAAGAAAGCCAGGTCAAGGGGTTAAAGGAGGTGAGTAGCATTTGCCTGAAGGCAGTAGGGCATGACGCCTCTGTGGCCAGACAGGCGTCGCTGATCCGTTTAGTTTTGTGGGTGGATGACCCATCTAAAAAAAAGAATAACTGGTCTCTTCACCCCACTGTCGTCCAGAAACTTCTTAAACACATTTTCCACCCAATCTGCAAATAATTCCCCCGTCATCTACCCACTTTCCCTCAACCCAACTCTTTGAAGTGTTCTGTTGGGTTGACCGTAAGTCTCTGCCCTGACATGATTATTAAAGGAGCAGCTAATGTGCCTGCTGCTGAGCAGCAACATAGACAGGTTATTTGAGCTTTAGAGCTCGTAGTCATTTTATATAAATCCCCCTTGACTGACTTTTGGGCCATTAATTAATTTTTTGGGTGGATTTTGCACATAGTGACAGTGCAAACCGTCTTGACATTGAACAAACGAGTGGGGTCCTCCAGCAGGTGTTCATCCACTTTTTCCATGTACTTTTCCATTGCTGGGACGAAACCGGGGCTTTCTCTATTCCCAGGAGCCTTTGGGATCTTTTCGTCCGTTCGGGATGCCTTTTCTTAAAATCGTGATACCTGAGAAAGTCAAAAAGAAATATCAATGTTATGTAATGCCGGTTAGCCGGCCAGGTGGTTCAGAGGCTGTGCGCTTGACTCTGAGTCAAAGGGTTCTGGGTTCGAATCAAGGTAAAGCCAAATTTTCATAATTACATTTTTCTGTGCCTGCCGGTGTCCTGATCGAGGACCAAGCCTGCTATCTCCTAAAAAGGCCATGATGAGTCGATAGGCATGTAAAATCCAAAGGCAAACGAACAAACATTTAATGACGGTAAAAAAAATATAAAAGACTTTATGCAATTATGTTTACAACATGTTAAAGCATGCACGGGCCAAACATATACCGTACCCCCCCCCCCCCCCCCCGGGGCTTATGCACAGTAATTGTAAATGGGCTGATTCATCACTGTCATTCTCATAACTGTGCCTGAACTGTAACAAAGAATAGACACTAGATCTACGGTTTTTCTACCTCCTGCTAATTAAAACGCCGAAGCCAAGATCAGGCGACGTCTTGTGTGATGGCATAGATAGATATCTCATATTATAAAGTGCACGCAGAGATATTTTTAGGCAGATCTAGATCTAAAAATATGGAATATATTATTGTATGACGACACTGCGGGAAATAGTGCATACCGAGTTGCACCGTCTTGTTATTCCAATCCAAGCGTCTTTTGACTTAGCCTACTGGCTCAGGGAGCTCTCGTGGCCTAGAGGTTAAGGTGTTTTGGCCTCTCATTTAAAGGTCCCGAGTTCGAATCCGGGTAGCGACCGAAAAAATTTCTTCTCTAAAAATGGTCTCCTTTCACCTCCTTTCCAGCTCTCTAGCAATGTTCTGTTGTCTGCTTTCAATTCCACTTTCTGCCCTCACCTCCTTTGCCTCCTCCTCTGGGCTCCTGACTCTTTTTGCAGCCTTTCTACTGCTACTCCTTGGCTCCTCCTTACTGCTGTCTTTCTGCCACACCCCTGATCTTCTGGTAGGAAAGATCTATACCTAGCCTTCTCGGACATGGGCGAAAAATCTCGGAGGGCCCGTGTGCAAGTGCGCACGTTAAAGATCCCTTGGTGGTCTAAAATCGATAAGAGTAGGCTTCGGCCGCCACCCGGGCAAAATTCCAAATTTCCTACCAACTGAAAATATTAGGTGTGTCCCGCGCGCTCATATGACCTATGCAGTTGCGAGCGCCGTAAAACACTTTACAAAAACACACAAAAAAACTACTTGCTCAAACTCAAATGATTATGATTATTATGAGAGATGAACAAGACTACTTTTATTTTGTGCAAACAATGTCAGAAACAGTTGATAGATCTAGATCTACCCAATATTGATCGGAATAAGACAACGTCATACTTCTGTCTGTTGAAACGTCACCATTGTTAAGTGTGTGTGTGTGGGGTGGAGGAGGGGAGCTATACACCCCCAAAGTCCCGATTCGGCTCAAAATTATGGAATTTGAGTTGTAGGCATTTTTAGCTTCCTCAGCCTCTCCTTCAACTATTTCATTGCGTAAGAACCCCCCAAAAAAACCATTTCTTCCCATTCCGGGCATGTTTGTCACCATCATTTCCTCATAAAGTCAATATTTTATTTTTCTTTATCGGCCGTTTTCTCAAAACGCTACTTTTCTCAATACTTTTTTTTAATAACTCCATTTTTCGTCCCATCTTCATGAAATTTTCACAGAATGGAGAGATGTAATACAGTAATACTAAAAATCTGTCTTTTGAATTTTTTATATATGGAATAGGTTTTTGTTGGTGGTGTCTTGAGTGGTTTTTCACGGATTTTTTTGCGAACTTGAATACTAGATCTACCTCAGGAAAAAATTCATTTAAAAATGTTCTAATTCGTTTAGGAAAAAAACAGCCGGTAAATTTTTAGATCTAATGTTTGTGAACAAGCATGCAATAAAACAATCAATTTCCATGAACAGTAAGTGCGGTATTCATTACGTAAGACAACAAAATCCAATATGGCCGCCGTATCCATGGAAACGAAACTTTTTTCTCATATTTGATTGCGGATTTTAAGACTCCTAACTATGCTTGTTATATGTGTGAAGTTTGGTAAAATTCGGTCCTCTAATAAGCGAGATACCCTTCAGGTGTGGGCCCCCACCCCTCCCTAAAAGCGTATGCAAACCCCCAAAACGAAATTTTAAAGAGTAACGCTCACGCACCACCAAAACTTTTAGGGGATAGGCCTAATCTGCAGGTTTAATGCGTAATATTATACGCACATTTGTGCGTAATGGGGAGCCCTGCAGGTTACACTTTTCCAAACAAGACAATCAACAATTTCTTTTCCCCGACCTCCCTCCGTGGCACCTCACCAAGGCAAGAGTAGACATACAGCTGACCACACACGACAAAGCAAGCTCAAACACCAAAACATTTAAAACAGAATACAAAAAACTTATAGAAAAATACCCCGGTGAGGAGCTTTCTTCACAGATGGCTCCAAAAAGTACTACACATGTATCATGTGAGCGCAGCAGCCCTATCTTCAAACAGTATACACCAGAGGAGACTCCATCCCGAAGCCTCCTTTTTTCTCTGCGGAGGCCACTGCCATTGACATGGCTCTGGACGCCGTGAAAAATTCTCCTAACAAATCTTTCCTTATCCTTTCTGACTCTCTGTCTTGCATCACCTCACTTACAAACTACACGCTCCTACACCCAAAAAATAGCTGGGCTACAACAAAAAATACACGCCTTGACTGAAACCTGGAAAAATATCGTGTTCGCATGGATACCTAGCCATGTGGGCATCCGAGGAAATGAGCAGGTAGATTATCTGGCGAAGGAATCCTTATCCCTTCTGTTGGGATCAACGACGAACACTCTCCCACAGACTGACTTTAAAAATAAAGTCAAAAAGTACACCTCCAGTCTGTGGGAGGCCCGCTGAAAAAAACCCAACAAATAATAAACTGCACAACATTAAATCCAAACTGGGACCGCGAAGTCATTCGGGCCTCTCCAGAAGAGTCGAAGTCATTTTTACTTGATTACGCATCGGACACACGGCTCTGACACTTACCTCCTTCAGAGAGATGAGAGGCCCGAAGGAAATATTTTAGATGCAAAAAATTGCAAGATCTGTTTTCCGTCGTTGTTCCCAACAGAATTTTTGATTTTATGAAGGCCATTGGCCTTTATGGGAATTATAAAATGGATTATTTGAAATTCTTAAGTGTTATTTAGAAAGTTTTTTTAAATATTTAAAATCTATTTACACCCGATTTTTAGCGTTTCAACAATTTTAATTAGAAATTTTGACCACAATCAGGCCGAGCAGTGAGCTGTTGAGAAAAAAACCAACTTGTACAGTTGCGAGCGCCGTAAAACACAATACATGTACTAAACTTTTTTAAAAAGAGAACTTTACAATTGTTGCAGTCCTATCCCAAGCTGCAGCCCTCCCCTTCTTCGCCTATCCACATGGCGTTATTATATGGTTTTAGAGCCGATGGAACCAAACTTACAGGTTTTGTTTCAAATCAGGGATGAAAGGCCTCATCATTTTGTCTTCCCACAGGTTAAAAAAAACCTCTAAGGGGAAGAAATTTCTCTTATCTTTTCAGAGTTAAGAAGTTTCCGTTGTACAGGATCAAAGAGGAATTAACAAGGTTGGAGCGGGGAGATTCTGTTAGGGAGGTTCAGTGTAACGACCAGCATCCACCCAAGGGTGTATTACCTTGTTATTTTTTTAGATGAGAGTTAACTTTATTTTTTATCTCCAGTTCATGTAGGTTTCAGTTCAAACCCACTTTGTACTTTTAAGAATTTTCAGGAAAAACTGATTAAGATGCTGCTGCTTTTTTTCTCGTATTTTATCAGGGTGTGATGGTTGGTATGGGCCAGAAGGACAGCTACGTTGGAGACGAGGCTCAGTCCAAGAGAGGTATCCTCACTCTCAAGTACCCCATTGAGCACGGTATTGTCACCAACTGGGATGACATGGAGAAGATCTGGCACCACACCTTCTACAATGAGCTGCGTGTTGCCCCTGAAGAGCACCCTGTCCTTCTTACAGAGGCTCCCCTCAACCCCAAAGCCAACAGAGAGAAGATGACACAGATTATGTTCGAAACTTTCAACTCACCAGCCATGTACGTGGCTATTCAGGCTGTCCTGTCCCTGTACGCTTCTGGTCGTACCACAGGTATTGTGTTGGACTCTGGTGATGGTGTCACCCACACTGTCCCCATCTACGAGGGTTATGCCCTTCCCCATGCCATCATGAGACTGGACCTCGCTGGCCGTGATCTCACCGACTACCTCATGAAGATACTGACTGAGAGGGGTTACAGCTTCACAACAACTGCTGAGAGAGAAATTGTGCGGGACATCAAGGAGAAGCTGTGCTACGTCGCCCTTGACTTCGAACAAGAAATGGGTACTGCTGCTTCGTCTTCAACTCTAGAAAAGAGTTATGAATTACCTGATGGACAGGTAATTACCATTGGCAATGAGAGGTTTCGTACGTCCGAGGCTATGTTTCAACCATCCTTCCTAGGTATGGAATCTGCAGGTGTCCACGAGACCACGTACAACTCCATCATGAAGTGCGACGTGGACATCCGTAAGGACCTCTACGCCAACACTGTCCTCTCAGGAGGATCCACCATGTATCCTGGCATTGCTGACCGAATGCAAAAAGAGATCACAGCTCTCGCTCCAAGCACAATGAAAATCAAAATCATAGCACCACCGGAGCGGAAGTATTCTGTCTGGATTGGAGGTTCTATCTTGGCGTCTTTGTCCACTTTTCAGCAGATGTGGATCTCGAAACAAGAGTACGATGAGTCGGGCCCGGCCATTGTGCACAGGAAATGTTTTTAACTGTAAACAGTACTCAGTCTGTTCCTGTTTTGCACTTACCATAACAGTTTTCTTTATTTCTGCCATGTATTTGACTTTTGTGCACTGTTGTTTTAGGTTCCTTTACTTTATGTGATCTTTCAGAAGCTTCTCGTTTCAAGTTTTCAACCACAATGTTTGTATCTTTATAGTGTATAATGTGCAGGCTTTTGGCTTTTCCATGTCGGTTTTGTATCATTCTTCCATTTGAGTTCCAGGGGTTTCTCTTATGCCCATTTCGTTGTGATAATTTTTAAAAAATTAAATTTTGTTTGTGTTTTAATCATTTGTGTTTGGTCGATGATGAATTACCGTCCATGTAAAGTGGTTTTTTCTGAAGTAAGCTACATGTAATTAGTGCCAAGAATTCTCTCTCTTTTCTCCCCTTCTCTCTCTCTCTCTCTCTCTCTCTCCCTCTCTCTCTCCCT